TGGTATCACCTCTTCAGGTGTCCATGTGTCCTGCCACCAGAAGAACAACATCGGGAGCTGGACAAAGATATGGCCAGGACACAGACCCCTCATTTGCATTCCATCTGGCCACTGCATCACCCTGGTCTCACATCACCCACCGGGTCCACAAAAGGGATGCCAAAGACATCATAGCTGAAGAAGAGCAGCTCCTTCTCCATTAGACTCTGCTGGTAATATACCTGGATCTCCTGTGGCAAGGGGCAGAGGGATGGGGTGAGGTACAGCAGGAGGATTCTGAAAAACCCCAAGTGTGAGCAGGAAGATGCAGGTTTACATCATTCCTGTGATCCTTGCTCCAGACCCGCAGCCTGTTTTCCTGCTCCATCTGGCAACAGGGAAGCAAGTGGCATTGCCCATCCTGTCTGAACTTCCCCGTGGACAAGCCCTGGGGAGGTGAAGTTGAGCAGAGGCACATGTGTGTCTCTTCTACAGGAAGCTCTTTAGTACTAGTTTCCCTTCCCCTACTCCAACTGGTGTGGGGCAGAGACTCCCATCTTGCCTATCACATCCCAGGCAGGACCTGGCCATCCAAATTTGGCTATTTTGAAAACAAATCCCCTGCTTTTTAAGCAATTTCACTTCAGTTGTGGAAAAATGCAACAGAGGTGGCCTCAGATCCTCCTAAAAAGATTGTCCACCTGCCTCTCACAGCCCCTTCTCTCAGGAATGGGTCCATGTGTGCCAATCAATCAGCTTCACTTGGCCTAAGACATTTTGCCAGTGATGTTTTTCAGCTTTTCAACTACTCTCCAGCTTGTCTGACCTTAAATCCACCCATTCCTGTCCACCTTTGGTAGCTGGCACAGAGGAGACCCTACAGCTTCTGCAAATGTCCCCAGTGAAAAGATGTCCCTCACTTAGCAATTGTCCCATCTGATTGCTCACCTCTCGCGGTTGGATATGTCTGGCTAGGTTTTCCCCCAGGACAGTGGTGTAATAGGCCAAATTTTGGTTCATCACCTCGTCATGTGGGAAGAAGAGCAAATAGGTTCTGGCACATTCAATGGCTTTTTCATAATTCCCATCTGCAATGAGAAATGGGGCTGTTAATGGCATGTCCAAGGACACTGGAGGCAGAAAAAAGACAGATATGGAGGAGAGATGAAGTTCCAAGCAGTGTCACGAGTAGGGCAGATCCCCTGGAGCAAGGATAACTGCTGCCACAAAGGCAAAAATCAGACTCTGTGGTGCTCTCCTGTCTCCATAAACCATCACAACATAAACCAGGAGTACTTGTACAGCTTGGGTACTTTTCTCACTTGGAAAACGTTACAAAGACAATTTAGAGGTAGCCAGACCCAACCATTTACTGGCAAACCTGCAGTTTCCAGCCACTGAAGCATCCTACCCCACTTTCATGTGGTCTTTCACAGAATCAGTCAGATTGGAAGGAACCACAATGGGTCATCTGGTCCACCTCTCTGCTTGAGCAGGATCCTCCGAGAGCATACAGCACAGGACTGTCTCCAGATTGCCTGGAATATCCCTAGTGAGAGAGACTGTGAGACAACCTCTCTGGACAACCATTTCAGTACTCAGTCACTGCATACGTCCTCATATCCAGGTGGAACTTCCTAGCCATGAGTTTCTGCCTCTTGTCCTATTGCTCAGCACCACAAAGCAGAGCCTGACTCCATCCTCCAGCACTACCCTGCAAATACTGACAAACATTGAAGAGGTCCCCTCACAGCTGTCTCTTCTTGAGGATTTCCATCCTCTTGGACTTCATATTTTTTCTCCTCCTTTTGAAGAAATTCACACAGAAACATTTTATACTTTTCTAAACAAGTAAATAAAAAATGAAATCAAATCAGGTGTATCTTCCTGGGTTGTAACTCTTCTGTGGTGGGAGTGTGCTGCTGTGATTTGAGGCAAGAGGTGGATAGCTGGCAAGGAGGAAAAAAAACCCAGCTTCTCTCAGCTGTTGTTTCACTTGAAAAGTGAAGCTGCCCAGTAATAAAGCAACATGGAGAGTGACTGCAGCCAAGCACAGAGAGATCCAAGCTCCTGGAGAATGTTTCACGCAGGAGGAACATGCCTGTATCAACCTCATGAAGTACAAGGCCTATTGGAAGGCTCTCCATCAGCATCAGTGAAGATGGGGGCGGGTGGATGGGAATAGAGCACCCCGGGGAGAAGGATATGGACATAACAGCGGATAAAAAATTGCACAGGACCCATCCATGTACACTAGCAGCTCAGAAACACCCCCTCACCCAGGTTGATCCCTGGCAGCATGGGCAACAGGTGAGGGAGGGATTCTGCCCCTCTGCTCCACTCTGGTGACATGCCACTTGCAGTGCTGCCTCCAGCTCTGGGTTCCCTGGCATAATGATATAGACTCATTAGAGTGGGTCCAGAGGAGGCCACAAAATGATCAGAGGACCGGAGTCCCTCTGTGAAGAAAGACCAAGAGAATTTGGCTTGTTGAACCTGGACATGAGAAGGCTCCTGAGAGATCTTGATGGCCTTCCTATAACAAGAGGGGCCACAAGAGAGATGAAGGCAACTTTTTATAGTTTATAAGGTTTATAGTGACAGGACAAGTGGAATTGTCTTAAAACTGAAGAAGGGCAGCATTAGGTTGGCCATAAGGAAGAAATTTTTTCTGATGAGAGTGGTGAGGCCCTGGCACAGACTGCCCACAGTGTTAAAGACCAGGTTGGATGGGGCTCTGGGAGATCTGAGTGACCAGTGCTAGACGTCCCTTCATCTTCGGTTGGACTGATGAGATTATTTTTGAAGGTATTTTCCCCACCCAAACCACTCTGAGCATCCATGATATCAGGCAGAGTGCCCAGTGCTGACAACCACAGAGGATGAGGTGAGGAGCTGCTTACTGTTGTAGTAGGCAAACTGCAGGTAGTTGAAGTGCGAGGGCAGGAAATTCTCTAGAGGCTTCTCCTGGCCGGGCTGTGAGGCCAGCTCTGTGACGCAGCCCTGCTTGCAGCTTAGCACTTGCATGGAGTGATCTGGCAGAGAAAAACACCATGTCACTGCTCACAGTCACCCATGGGCTGATGGGCAGGACACTGAGGGGTATCCAATCTCCTGCTCATATTGGGGTTGTTGCAAGCTTTTTGGTAGTGGAAAACCCTCAGGGATGGGGGTTGTCCACCTCTGAGATGATCAGTGTGGGGTTGTGGTGCTCTCTCAGGACACACTAGCCATCCTCAGCCTCCCATGACATCCTGGTGACCCTCTCTTGGTCTCTCTTCTGTCTTTCCATGTTCTCTGGAATTCGGAGAATTCCTGGGCATCAGCCCTAGTGCTAAATTAGCTAAACACTTCCTGCCACTTACTGGGCACACTTTCACACTAGTGAAAGCTAGGATGGGGCTTCCACTCTTCAGGGACCCCCTACCCCCACCCCAGGTCTTTGTGGACCAACCCCTGGAGAATTGTACTCAACTCTTGTGACAGGACACAGAAGGCATGGCTCCCACCTGTAATGGCCTGGAAAAGGTCTGCATTGTACTCAAGGTAGTTGTAGCCCTCGTAGTCATATGGTCCCTCGCAGAGAGCGCGGCACTCAGTGTCTGCCACAAAATACTCCTCCAGTGCCTTCTCCAGGTGCAGGATGGCAGCAGCTGGCTGCTCCTCCGTGTAAAACCGGATGCCCAGCTGAAACTCGCTCTGTGGAAGGATGAGAAATGATGAGGGGATCTCAATGCTTCACTCCCCATGATGGATCACAATGCCATAACGGCATCTCATGAGCTCTCTGAGCTAGCAGCTGTGGTGTGATTGCCCTGGGTTGCACAGCGGAGAGGGACTTTGGGAGGACAGGGTCTTACCAGGTGGGGTTTGGCCTCCAGGTCAGTGAAGTCATCCTCGTGGACTCCCACCATGGCCTGGTAGTACTCCAGGTTCTGCCTCATCTCCTGGTGCCCAGGGTTGGCCACGAAGAAGGTGTGAGCAGCCGCCGCTGCCTGCGCTGGCCGGTTCATCTGGGTGAGACGGGGGGTGAGACAGCGCGGATCCCACGCGGCGCGGAGGGGACACCCGCCCCCGGGGCATCCCGGGAGCCGGGGCGGAGGGCGGTAACAGGGGCGGCTCCAGCGAGCTCCGACGTGGCACTGGTGGGGGGGGAGCGCGAAGGCGGGGGGGCAAGGCCGGGACTGCTGGCCGGAAGCCCCCATTCCACCGGGGCAGACACCGAACCCTCCCGGCGTCCCGGGACCGGGATCGCCGCCGGCCGGTTCACTCGGTCCCACCCATCCATCCTCTCGCCTGATTCCGGGATCTTCCGCGCATCTCGCCCGTCCCAAAACCCGTCTTAGCGGGACACCCCTTCCCTTCCCCGCCGCTGGTGCCGCACCTTGAAATAGGCGACCTGGAGGTAGTTGTAGGGGCTGCGCCGGCCGAACTCCCGGTCCAGCTCCTCGCCCAGGCGGTACCGAGAAGGCGCAGCGGGTCCGCAGCCCCGCAGGCAGGCGGCGCGGCGAAGAAGCGCTCGGAAGAACCACAAGTCCCGGAACACCGGGTCGGTTTGGGACTCGGTCCCCTCCACCGGCCCCGCTGTGGCGTTGGCGCATCGCAGGCGGCACTGCACCAGGCGGGAGCGCACGGCTGCCCGCGCCCGCAGCGCCCTCTCCATCTGCAGCACTACAGTGGGCCAGTCTCCCCGCGCGTACGCCTCAGCACCGGCGGCGAACAGCGCGTCCGGGGACTGGGCGGGCAACGGCGGGTCGCCCGGTGCTAGGGTCGGTACCGGGACCGGTTCCGGTGGCGTGGCCGCCCGCGCCAGCAGTACCATCAGCAACGCCGGCAGCAGCAACAGCAGAAGAAGCAGCGGCGTCACCGCCATGTCCGAACACCGGCCGAAGCGCGGCACCGCCCACCCCGGCACCGGCGCGGTACTGACTGCGCCCCTCCGCCCCGCCCGGCGGCCAATCAGGGACAGCGGAGCCCCGCCATGGCCGCACCCCTCACGGTGCGCGCTGTGGCCGCGGCGGAAGCCTCTCCGCCGGGCGGAAGCGGTTGGTCGTGGCTGCCGATGGCGGAGGGCGGCGCGAAGCCTGGGGACGAGGGCCGCGGCCCCGGCCCCGGGCCCGGGCTGGCCCTGGTCGAGGGCAGCGCCGGCCGCGCAGGCCGCGTCGGGGAGCCCGGGGACCTAGTGGCCCTGGCCCAGCAGGTGCAGCAGGTGAGGGCAGGGTCCCAGCGGCGGGGCTGCGGGGGCAGGACTGGGCTTGCTGTCCGCTGCCTCCCGGACGTCTCCGGGGCCTTCTCAGGCGGCGGTGGCCTTGGTGCCTCCCAGCGTGTCCCGCTGCTGTTCGGTGGCCCTGGCGGCCTCCTGATGTGACCTATGCTATTTCCCACCATTTCCCACTGTCCTCTCCCAGTATGTTGCAGTGTCCTGCCAGTATTTTCCCGAGTTCCCACGTTGTTGGTGTCTCCAGAACCTCCCATTGCACTTCAGTACTTCCCACTGTGCCTTGCTGCCCCACAGTGACTCTTAGAGCATCTCACTGAAGTCCCATCCCAGTATGCTTTGCTGCCTCCCAGTATGTCCCACTATATATAGTTCACAGCAACATGTACAGATGCTTCCCACTACCATCCTCCTAGTCCATCCTAGCACCCCTGATATGTCCTATGACTGCTTCAGTGATTTCCAGTCCATCCTGACTCTCAGTCCACCCCAGTTTTTCCTGATATGTTCTACTGGTCCTCCTAGTGCGCTCCAGTATGTTATACTATCCCCCCAGTGCCTCAGAGTACATCCTACTGATCTCCAGTGATGTACCCCAGAGCTTCTCAGTTCATCTAGATGCTCAGTGTATGTCCTACTGCCTCCTCCCTGTGTATTACACTACCTCCCAGTCCAATCCATTGCCTCCCAGTATGTCCTGCTACTCCTTCTCACTGCCCCTCAGCCTATCCAGACAGCTCCTGGTCCTTGCTACTGCCTGGGGGTGCCAGGACACCTCCTGGCCCCCAGCTGTTGATGCCTTGAGCTTGACCATATAACTGGGTCAGCACAGTCCAAAGGGCTGTGGTCCTTCCTGTTCTGACCAGCCCTGCTTTTCTCTCCCAGGCCAATGACTTTATCCGAGCAAATGCCTGCAGCAAACTGACAGTCATTGCTGAGCAGATCCGGCACCTGCAGGAGCAGGCGCGGAAGGTGAGTAAGGATGGGCAGAAGGCTTATTGCCTTGACTTGGGAGATGAGCATCTGCTGCTGTTGCTGAGCATTTGGGGAGAGCTGTGGTCTACGTGCGAGTTGGGGCCAGGAGCTGAGCAGAGAAGATTTAGTGGAAAAATAAGGAGGTTTATTGTCCAGTGTCAAGGGGGATGGGGGAGGGTTGATTTTTGTGCTTTCCCTGCATCCTCAGCCAACCAGGAAGGACTTTGTGAATACAGTAGGGGAGCAAGTGTGGCTGGTCCAAAGCAGCTTGCAGGTATCAGGACAGAGAGAGATGACTCTGGTTTTGGGACTGGTGATTTGTGTGTGCACTGTGCTCTTAGAAGGATCTGATGATGATGTGGCTCTAGCTGGATCTGAGGCCCTGGGATAAGGCGGTGTGCTTCAGTGGGTTCCACTGTGAGCAACTAGCACTTTCGGGGCCTGGAGCATGCCCGCTATGATAGCTGACAACAGAGGCAAAGGATGGGTCTTTGTATGGAAATCCGGGGATGGTTTATTAAGCCTCAAAGGGAATCCAGGGACAAAGACAAACTTGGACTGAGGGCAAAGGGTTTTACATGGTGAAAAAGGGGTGCATCTGAGGGTCAAGGTCCAATGGGAACAGATGAAAATGGTGCAGAGGAGGGGCAGCTAACCAGGGGAACCAATAGGGTAACAGAGGTGGAACATGACCTTAAACTGGGACCAATGGGGATCAGGAGAGAGGAGAACATTCTAGGAAATATGGTGAACAGGTGTCTGAACTGGGGTGGACAACTGTATGAACCAATGGAACTTAAGACATTAATATGTGCCTGCAAAGGCCTATGGGAGTGAGGCACTTCTCACTCTCATCTAAGAGGGGTGTTTCTCCTTGCCTGCTTTTGTGTCCCCAAGCTTAAAGGGACTGGTTGGCTTTCAGGCCTCCATACTGGGAAAGATGAGTTCTCTACCTAATGAGAAGCTTGGTTTTCATGTTTATTCTGATTCATTTGCTGGAGTGGGTGGTCCCAGGAGTACACAGCAGGGCTTGGCTGTGTTCATCAGTCCAGCCTTCCACTCTTAGGAGTAAAATCAGTAGCCAGAGTGGGAAGGATCTGCCAGTCATTGCAACTGATCCTGCCATTGAGGCCATTATATCATGTAATCATTAACTAGTGGAGCTGGAGCAGTCAGGTGGTGGAACGGGGGAGATGAATTCTTCTTTGTTTACTGCCCCTTCCCTTGCGGGGTACAGCAGGAAGGCCTGTCTTAGGTTGCAAATTCAAGTTGTGGCTGGAGGTGTGTATTCTATTGCCATCTGTTAGAGGTGGGACAGTTATGTCCTGTTAATAGGTCACCTGTTAAAACCAGGTGGGGCAGTTTTCTTTATCTCTTCTATGACCCATCCTCCCTCTGGGGAGATCTCTTCTGTTAATGGGCCATTGAGTGTCACTGCATGAGTGATAAAATTACATCATCCCATTGGGAGATGCTCTGCCCAGGGGGAGGAGCCAAGCATTCCTACCTGGATATACTCTGACATTTGGAAGACCACAGTCAGCCTTTTCCCACTTGATTCCCAGAAAAGCAGCTTTGTTTTCCACTGGATTCCCAATGGAAGACCAGGCCCATCTATACTACCATTGGACCTTCAGAGGAAAACTACATCCTTCTACAGGATTCCTGCTCCACCAGAACCACATTTGTCACTCCAGGAGGACTGCAGCCATTATTTAGTCAGACTGCTACCAACAGCCTGACCAACAGGGTGTCAGATCATATTTCTGATTCTGTCAGTATTGTTTTATATTACTGCATTTTTTTTTTCTAATAAAGAATTGTTATTCCTACTCCCATATCTTTGTCTGAGAGCCCTCTTAATTTCAAAATTATAATAATTTGGAGGGAGGAGGTTTACATTTTCCATTTCAAGAGAGGCTCCTACCTTCCTTAGCAGATTTCTGTCTTTTCAAACCAAGACAAGGCCCCAGTCCAGCAGCTGTTTGTGGAGATGAGGAATAAGCCCAGCATGTGGTGGTGTCAAGTGTAGAGGTGAATCTGGGGTGAGATGCAGAGGTATCTCCACCTCTGTGGAGAGGTTCTCTGAAGTCCTACAGACAAGGAAGAATTGGAAAAAACTTCATCTCTTTGGAAAGCGTCTCCTTCCTGTGTGCCAGGGAGATCAAGGCCTTGTGACCTATAGGTCAAGTGATGTGCCTTGGACTACGGCTGAGAGGCAATACCATGTTGTCATTTTATTTCAAGTGTAAAGATGTTAAGTTTTGTGTATTCCAGGTCTTGGATGAAGCTAACAGGGATGCTGATCTGAACCACGTGGCCTGCAACCTTGTGAAGAAGCCAGGAAATGTTTACTACATGTACAGGCGGGAGAGTGGGCAGCGGTATTTCTCCATCCTGTCTCCTAAGGTGGGTGGTTACAGGCCATGAAGAAGCAGAGAGAGGAAAAAAGTAATGTTTCTGGTGCTTGGAAACATATGGAGCTCAGACAGAAGCACCAGCTTGATGGGGACATTTGTTTGTCCCTACTCAGGTTTAGTGTTTGCCCTTGCTCTTGGTTAGTCTGCTGGGGCCAGAGCCATTTTATGGAGTTCTCTGGGTCTTGATGGAGAATGGCAAGAAGCCGTCTGGGGCGTGGACGTGAATTTTGTCTTTTGGCACTGCGGTTCTTTGCCTGAAAGTGCAAACTGACAGTGGGCCCTGAGCCTTCCCTTGCTGGTGTGGCTGCCTGGGAGGAGGGTCTCTTCAGGTACTTCAGCCCAGGCAGCTGAAGAGATGATCCTGGAGATCTCCTCCTTCCAGACTACCTGTTTTCTTACATGCAGGGTGGAAGCTTCCGGGCAGGTCAGGGAGATCTTGTGTCCGCAAGCCTTCCTCTGTCAGCAGTGCTGGAGCTCGACCTGATCTTGGACTTGGGGTATCTGAGCCTGTATTTAGGTTAGGAAATGGTATGGTCATGTAGCTGGGACTGCTTCAAAGTGAGAGACAGCACAGCCAAGCTCCAAGGAAACCTGAACACTGATGGAATCTCTCTTTTCTCCACCAGGAATGGGGTACCACTCCCCATGAATTTCTTGGTGCCTATAAGCTCCAGCATGACATGTCCTGGACTCCGTTTGAGGACATAGAGAGACGAGATGCTGAAATAACTGTCCTGGAGAAGCTGCTGAGCCAGCCGGCAGCACTACCCCTGTGCATGGAGCCCAACTTCCAGGGCGTGACCAAGTGACCACACAGGACCCCCTGAGCAGAGTCCCTGAGTGAGGGGACACAGTACCTGTATGCTGCCAAAGGCAGGGTGAAATAGACCAAGAAACAAAAATACTGATTGCTTTTGTGCTTTAAGGAGATTAATTCTACATTCAGTCTTACTGGACTTTCTAGTAATTGAATAATTTACTTCATTGACCTATGGCAAGCTGTAGCAAGAGGCAGATGATACCAGGAGGTGTGACTTCCAAGAGTGCTTGGAGCAAAAAGCAGAAATGCTTGGGGCAGATGTGCTAATGTTGTAAAATAATATCTCCTATCTGCCTGGCTCTGGTGTACCTCACTGTGAATGTGTCAGGTAATGATCTCAGGGCTGGATTTTCCCCCTTATTAAAATGCACATATTTAGAGAGCTCTGTGGTCTGGGAAGAGTGGTCAAAAGCCTGTGCAAAGGGTTTGCTGTGACGAGTCTTCTGGTCTCTGTCCTAGCTGGTCTGAATCCCTGAGCTGGGAACATGAAGCTTTTCTCTGGAAAGAGCATCCTCAAAAGTACCATGCAGGCTTCAGGTGTTCGTCAGATGATGTGTGTTTCACATCCTCATGCATTCCCCCTTGGATTTGAGTGCATGAGCTGCTAGGTAGAGGCAGGATACTGGATGACTTTATGCCAGAGCAGTGGGGAGAGTAAAATAAACCATGATCTCATATGTACCACCAAGACAGGCCCTGTGTTCTTCCTGCGTGGCAAAAATACCTTTAGCTTTGCCAGGAAGACTTAGTGGCATGTGGAGCTAGTAGGATACCCCCAGCATATTTTTTCCATCTAGGAAAACTAGAGAGAAGTAAAGATCAGAGCTGCTGAGGAGAAATCCTCCCTCTGCCGAGCCACACGGGGCTTCTTCAGGAACTTGCCTGCTTTTCTGTGAGGAGCCAAAGTTGGAATTTATTGACAGAGAGGATGTTCAGGTTGGATCCTGGTATGTAACATTAGATCTGGTTGGATTCTCCCATGACTTGCTCACTTTTCTGACATGACAAGATGATCTTATATGCTACTTCAGGCATTGCATGTACACAATCACCTTGCCACCTCTATGGGCAACATGGGAGTGTTGGGGACCACTTGTACGAGCTGAATTCTGACCTTGGGATCTGGGCCAGCTATGGATGGAGTTTGTGCTTCTTGGTGGAGCCTGACTGTGAATGCATCTGCAAAAATGAGACCCTTGGGGACCAGCACTGTCACTGTGTTTTGCCATTGCTGGAGTTTATTCCCCCTTTGCAGGACACAGCCTTACATCAAGTCTCTAGCATCCCTCTGTCCTCATCCCCATGCACTGGAAGTTTGCCTTGGGAGATGCTCAAGGCTGCTGGCAGTGACAGTTCCTGATGGGAAGAGCTGTTTCCTACTGGTGTTACAGAGGATTGGAAGGTTTGGGGCAGCTCCCTAGCCCAGGATTTTTTTGTCCCAGATTTTCTTCTCCTAGCTCTGTCTAGTGCAGTAGCTCACCTACATCCCCGCATGGCTGAGCCTCTGTTTGGCAGAAACCTGTTCCTTGGATTCAATATGAGGCTTTTTTTTCAATATCTTTCCTCACTTGGAGCACAAGGACATATTAACAAGAATTTGTTAGTAGTAGTAGTAGTATTAGACCAGGCTATAATTAATTCCTTAACAAGTTACAGGTGCTGAATTTGACAGGGTGTTTCTCTGCTTTTTCACTGCCTTGAGTCTGATTTTACTGCATGCTATTATATCTTAACTTGGAAGGGAGAAAGTTAATTACTGCATGGACTTTGTGTGGTGCTAATTACAGCAACACCAGATCTTCACGTGTGTTGATTTATGCTCCTCTGGGAAGTGAGGATTCCTGCCCTGGTTTTATCTGTTTCCATCATTAATATCTGTACCATGGCACACACAAGAGGACTGGGGAGTGGTGGTTGTGGACCTCTGTAGCCTTTGGTGGGATGTCATGTGTGTCTAGCAGACACCCCTGGCCCTCCATACCCCACAAGTCACCAGTGTTCTGCAGTTCCTCTAGGCACTGTCAAGTCTTTCTCTTGGATTTGCTCCCAAAAGGCAAAACTATTATGGCTTTGTATGAAAAGACAAAGGAGGCCTCAAGAGACAGGACATGGAGGTGATGAGCTCATAGTCATCCTCAGTGTTCTTGGCACTGTGGGAAATGGGGAATGAGGCTGGTGCAGGGAGCAGTTGATGGAAAGGGGGAACAATTTCCTCAATATTGCTTATGCACTGGTGAAATGTAATTAAAGCCAAAGAACTGTGAGGTATCATCAGAAATACTGGAAGGTGCTCTAGAGCCAAAGCAACACATAATCTGGAACACAGTCAAGGATGAAGCTGGCTGAGGTGGAGCCTCATGTGATGCTTGCATCAAGAATGAGTTTCTGGAGGAATTATGAGATGGTGCCTTGTGGGAGACTCCAGGGTCTCTCCAGGTTCTTGATCTCATCCACGCGGCTCAGCCTCTACCCAGCTGGTACCTTTGTGCTTGACAGGGCAGGGATTTAATTGAAAATCATCTGGAAGAGACAGTGAGACACTGATATCCATTCATGATTTCATCTTGAAAATTCTTTTGAAAATGTTCTTCTTCCTTTGCTCTTTTGTGAGTGCTCAGGGCAGCAGTGAGCATATTTGGAAGGCAGTGTCTCTTTTGAAAATCCCCAGGGATGCAGAATATTTGCAGAAGGCACAGATATGCTTCTGACACCATTACGTTGGGCAGAGTGGATTGTGTTCTGTCTTTGGCCATGCAGATGGACCAGGGCTCATTTAAGAGGTCCAACACAAAGATGGTTTGAGGGTTTGACCCATTCCATGTGCTCTCCAGAGCCAGTGTTTCGTGACTTGAAGCTGCTGGCATAGGTACTTGCAGCTTTTTCCAGCTTTTAATATTTGAATTACTCTGTAGTTTTCTGTTTCAGGCCAGATTTTTGCTTTGCTTCTCAAAGTAGTCGTGCCTGGAGATTTTCTTTCTGGCCTCTTGTTCCTGGGCGATGGGGGTGGTTAGGGGATTTAACTTGCCATAAGTGACCTCTGCTCTGGCGTGTCATCTCCCAGCCACGAGGAGTGTCCCAACAGGATGAACTGTGGATCTTTGGCCCTTCTTATGTCGGCTTCAGGTCCAGGGAGAAAAGACAGAAAACCAAAAAAACCACGAAAAAACCGAGAAAACAAAAAACAAACAAAAAAAAAAAAAACCAACAAACCACACCAAAAGCAACCTAGAGGGAGCCTGGGCGCTGTGCCGGCGAGCCCCACATCCGGCAGGCCGCGCGCGCCCCTTGCCGCTCCGCGCAGCGCGCTGCGAGCCGCGGCCGGCAGGGGGCGTCCTAGCGGGCACGCCCCTCACCAGCGCGCTGCGCGGTGACGTCAATCGACTGCCCCTGTGCCTGCGCCGAGGAGACCCCGCAGTGAGCTGCCAACGCCCGGCGGAGCGTCCGAGGTGAGAGTGGGGGGGCGGGGGAGGGGGGCGGAGACGGGACTGGGACCCCCGGCCGAGCTCCGGGACCACCGGGACCACCGACCGGTCCTGCTCTCCGCGCGCACCCACCAATGGAGCCCTGGCCTTCACCTCGGCCGGGGCGCCCGCTGTGCGGAGCCGCCCTGCCGGGCCGGCTGTGCGTGCGGGGCCTCCCCGGCAGCCGCCTGCCGGGGGGAAGGGCGGCCTCCTCCCGGCGGGTCCCGGTGGCTGCTGGCGGACGCTTGCCTTTGTGGGCCTGGTCTTTTGAGACGGTCGGCATGGCCGCCGCTTCTCTTGCCCACCCTTCCCCCGCTTCCGGGCGGCCGTCGGACTGGACCCTCGGAACGGCGCAGGAAGCGTTCCCGCAGCCATGGCGGGGCCCGTCCGCACTCCCTTGGCCCTGCCCGTCCCAGCCCCGCCCCGCCCTGCCCGTCCCGGCCTCGGCCGCGGCCCTCCGCACTCGGTGCAGCCCGGCACAGCCCGGTAGCGCTCGGGGCTGTGGGAGAAGCCTGGAGGGGCTGCGGGCATAGGAGCCCTGAACCGCAGCGAGGTGCGGGCATGGCGAGGAGTTGAGCTCTAGCTATGTGCCCTGCACAGACAGCGCTCAGTCGAGAAGTCGCAGACTGTTCTGGGCATCTGCCTCACGAGCTGCAGTGCTGTGGGTTATCCAAAGCTGTCCCACAGCTCTCGTTACATCGTGATGCCTCTGGCTGTATCTGCGCCAGGAGCTAGCACTGCTTCGAAGGTTGGTGTTGACATATGTTTTTCATTCTCCTTGGAAATCTCATAAAAATGTACATACTGGAGCAGCATAACCCCTGTCTCTGTTTTAAAGGTCCGGTTTAGTGATGTAGATTTCAGTTGTGTATCTGTAAGTAGGTAGAACTTGCAGCTGGTGACAGCACTAGGAGACAGTCACAGAGCCAGGTAGCTGTGAAGACCTAGCATTGGAAACCTGTGCTTAACAAAGAATGGTAGGTATTCCTGGTGTCCTTTCTGTGTGGATGCTGTGGCCAGGGCAGCCAGAGATCCTGTCTTGACAGCAGCATGAGGAAGAGAAGCTCTGGCAAAGAGGCCGTGTTAGATGGCAACTGAGTGATCAGACATGGCAACTGGGTGATCAGAACTGGCTTGCTTGGTCTGGCCATCTATGATTGTCTTTGTCTGTGCTTCTCTGCCAGGAAAGGAGGTGTGGGCTGTTCAAAGTATTGAGTTGCAGTGCCCCAAACACTTTCTTTTTTTTTCCGGAAGGGGCATTTAAAACCTGCATCAAGCTCTTTGTAGTGCTGATTTGGATAACTCAGTAAAGCATTACAGCTTCTGTTTTTCTGTAAGCAAATTATATTCAGCTGGCTGAATGTGAGGAAGCTGTATGTGAAGAAGCTGTTGTAAATTTCCCTTCTGTTGTAAACTTCTGCTTTGTACTCTTGTTGACAGTGTAAGGTTCTGAGGAAGATAATATAGGTAACTATATTTGAGTCAGGTCTTAGGCATGTAAGGTTTGAATAAGTATGTTGCCAACTGTAAAAATGGTTTGGTGTTTAAACTTTTCTCATTTATGCTTCAGTAACAAAAAAAAAAAATTAAGTCATGGCAAGGAATAAAAAATTACTGTGGTGCAAGATAAAACATGTTTTCACTTTGGTAGCATATCCTAGGCAGAAATTTTAATCACTAAATTTGCATACTTTGAACTTGGTTATTCATGACCTGCAACTGATGCTCTGAATCATTAAGTGCTCTGCTTTAGGGTTGTTTGCCTAAATCTGATGACTGGGAAGTTCATGATGTTTTTACTGTTTAAATAGAAAAGCTCTGGAAGCTCTAGAGTGTGA